CGCTTTCGCTTCTTCTGCGCGCAATTCGTGATATATTAAAAAAAAATGCGTGCCGTTATTTCAGCGTTGGCGTAACGAAAGTTTCCGGGGGGATTCCGGATGACGCTGCGCGAATTTTAAGCGAGAGGAAATTGAACGGACGGGAAGAATAAAAGGATGAAAACGTACGCGAAATATGTAGATACGAAATTTTTATTCCTTTTTATCTCTTCGTGTGTTAGTAACTCGCTCCGAATATCGGCAGCACGAAAAATATCGGCGTAAGAAAATATATAAATGTATTTATATATATATGTGTGTGTATATATTAATAATTATTATTAATTTTATTATTATTGCTCTCATCAAAACTCATCTCAGTTCACGCGCATTTATAATCGACGCGTTAAATCTGCATCTTCCAGCGAAGATTTTGTAGAACATCGCGTTCTCGCGATGTATCGGCGTGTTTTGAGAAGAACTTTGATTATGATTATTATCTCATGTGATCTCATACCCAACTTAATCTCATTAGAACAGTCGAAACATGAGTATATAAATATATATAAATATATTGTATATATAATATATGCATATGTATATAACAATGTCTTTGCTTGCAAGACCGCACAGTTAAGGAAATCAACGCTTAATGCTAATTAAATCTCTGCTCATATAAAACCAGTAACGCCTAAACTATACGATTATCATACAAATATATATATAATTTATATATATATATATATATATATATATATATTGTAATATTACTCGTTAGTCTTAAATATGTACACTTTAATGCGCATACATCGATAATTATGTTTTGATTGCCGAAAATGTTTGGAATAATGGAAGCACAATTTTCTCTCAATTAACCACTTTTCATTTTTTTTTTAGCAAAATAAATTATATTTAATTACATTGGTAACTTTTAATAAATTCCAATATCAGTAATAATAATAATTCTTTATATATACTCTCTTCATACAAGATATTTGGTAATGTAAATAAATGATAAACAAAGTAATAGCTAAGGTCCTGTTAAAATAAAATCTACTTGTGTAATTAATTGAGAAATGAAGCTTCCTTGGCGAATTGCAATCTTGTGATTCAATTCAATATTTTTTTTCTTTCCGAATCAATCATATCTTAATATTAGATCTGCGCGCTTGTTACAAAAATTATGTCAATTTTATATAAAAAAATACTATCTATCAATAAACACTCTGTACAAAAAAATATTCGCCTTATTGTCTTAACGGACATAAATTAGTTTTCATTTCTCACATATATTGTTAACTAAAGAAACAATTGCTTCTTTTAATTTTCTTATTTTATGCGATTTTACCTTAAGAAGTATTAATTAATTTAATAAATAAGAGTTGGTTTTTAAACATACATATACATACACAACAAGTACGTTTTGTGATACCACATTGTGCGCGATTGGGATATCTATCGATATTATTCGCGCTGTTATATTTCGTCCGATTTTACTATTTCTTTAGCTGACTACGCAAAAGTAACTGCGCTCTTCAACTTCTCATTCGCTTCATCTTCCTTTCTATTATTGTAACTACACCGGGATTAATCTTCGCGGGATAAATCTTTCCCGCCTTCGGGTTTTATCGCGGAATTGAAGAACCAACAACCGTTAAACTTATACAAAATATACAATATAAATGCAGTAAAGCCTGATACGAAACGAACTCTGGGTTTCTCAACATGTAAATGTAAATTTTTAGCAACTCTGAAGAAATCAATCATTTTATTCTATCAAAGAGAAATAAACCAATTTTTTTCTTATCATTGTTGATATTAATTAATATAGTTTTATATGAAGCAATAAGAACAATTTTTACATAATGCAGAAGTAAACAAAAATATTAACGTAGGACTGTTACATTTTCTCGCGACTTTGGAAAAATTGGAAGAAATATGAGTTAATTCACAAACGTTGATTAACATTTAAAAATAATTTTTTTTCAATTTCACACACAGAATTTATATTACAGTCGAGGTCCCGCCTCGGTCTACTTCCAATTTGACGAGCGTTCCATGTCAAACCGCATTAAAAAAAAAATGCATGTGTCGTAGAAATCTAACAGCCGTGGAAGCGCGCTTTACGATCTAATTACGCGAGCAAATCCATTTCCTCGATGGAACTACCTGGTATTCGCTCGTTTCACGTCGCCATGTGTTCTTTGGCTTCAGTTTCTGCATTCGAGACAGTTTTTCAGAGTCTCGAATCTTTCTCAGCAGCCTAAACGTCAGTAAAAAGATCATTATGCAATTAAGGGGATGCTGACCATGACTGTTTTACCGACTTTGAGTTCAAGGGTTTTTCTTTTTATTGGCTATATACCAATTAAAAAATCCTTTTCCACAATTAAAGTACTGATAATAATAAATGGGAAGGGCTGTAATTTCGTATAAAAAAACAATAAAAGTTAAAAAATTACAGTTTTTAACGGCCTCTTGCATCAGCTCATAACAATACTTAATTAATACAAAAGTTCTGCAGTTTATTTGTGCACAAAACATGGCGCTCCCAATAAAGATGACATGAAAGAATGATACAGAAGTAATAAAAATAAGATTAAAAGCCTGTATCACAAGATTCGTAACTTGAATTAATTATGTATGCATATTTGCGTGCAAAATCAATGTTGAGACATAAAACAGCAAAACTTAGTTGCCGGACAGCGCTCCCCATTCATTATTATCAGTACTTTCATTGTGGAGAATTTTTCAATCTGTATATTCAATAAAAAGTGAACCTATAATCCAACTTAAAGTCGGTAAAACAACGACAGCATCTCTTTAATAATAACCTTAATAAATAAGGTAAAATGTTGCAATACAGATACTTTGTAAAAAATAAAAAATAAATCTTCGTAAAAAATGTAGAGTTTATTTGTAATTTTAAGAAACTTTTTCAGAAACTTAGTCTTCTTCCACTCATCGCAATTCCGAATAATGACGTCATAGTGGGCTGAGAATGATTCAAGTCCGACGATAATGAATGCACGGACATAATTGCACTGTTCATCAATTGCACCTTTACACGGCCGAAGAACAGGCCGCGTAATAATCCCCGTGACATTAAATCTCCGCGATCTAACACAAACAAACTGACAAGATGAAATTGATGCCAGCCGCGGAATTGATATGAACGGAACGTCAAAGCGCTAAAATGCTTCCCAACGACATTATTTTTATCTTTATTATATCTTACATAAAATATATAGACCATATATAAATAGGTAAAATGAATAAAATGATTAAATATCGCAAATATCTTTATATGTACAACCGATCGGTGAGCGAACGTGAACACGTTAGTACATGAATCCTATACTTAATTATCTTGAAAAATTCGCGAAATTAATCGTGTTAATTAATATCTCTTACGATGCATTAAAATAACGAAATATTCGAAATTGCAGTAACCAGAGTACTAAAATATTTTATTTCAAAAAAGCGTCAGTTTAAAGTTTAAACGAGAATAGAAGTATGAAAGATAACGCTTTCTAAGGAAGCGACGTAGAAAAAAAATTAATTATATGAATTATGTGAACAAATATTATTGTGATAATTGGTGCGATAGAAATGGAGAACCGTGCAAAGTGAGATTAGCGATGTAAGAGCAGCTATATATAAAATACAAGCGCGAGAAATTAAATGAGAAAATTAAAAGAAAAAAAATAATAACAAAAGAATCTCCTCGAGTAACCTAAGAGCGGCTCACGTGAGCCCCGGATTATATACTTACGTAGCTAAGTCATCTTAAAAGCCTAATCGTTCATGGAACATACAGCATTTAATATATCATAGATATATGGGACCAAAATCACCAGCACCAGTCGTTTGCGTCTAAGATGCCTCGAGCGCAACACGATCGTCGATTAATTTATTCTCTCGAGGGCGAGCTCTCTCGATCGATGATGATCTATCTACGGGCGCCTCTCTCTCTCTCAATCGAGCGAGAAATTCCTCTCGTCCTTCCGTCGCGATGCCCACGGCACGTGTCTAAGGCACGATCCCGACGACTTAATAAATATCTCGTCCGACCATCAAAAATATCTCGTCCGACCATCAAAAATATCTCGATTATATTATTATATATAAAATTGTAAAAGTGTGATTGAACGACGTTATTGGGCGGCTGACAGTTTTGACATTTCTTTGACAGGTCTCTTGACGTGTCTCTGTAGCCCTGTTCGCATGGGTGTTCGCAGAAGGGGCACTTGCAATTATTTGGATATTTAAAAGAGAAAAATTATAATTAATATTTAATTAATAAATATATAAACTATAATTAATATTTAATTAATATATATTTAATTATTAAATATACAAATTATAATTAATATTTAATTAATGTAATATATATTTACTTAATAAATATATAAATTATAATTAATATTTAATATAAAATTTGAAAACTTTTTAAAAATTAAGAAAGAACAAAAAAATTTTTAATTATACCCTCCCTTTTGAGAAAAATTCTGCGGACGCCCATGTCTGTTTGCAACGCGAGCAGACGGAAGAACGGTGATCGGTTGGAAAAAAGTGTTCGGTATAAAAAATAGAATGTTGTGTTTCTTCGCTTCCGTCGAGAGAACGGATACTGCGAGCAGCGAATAGTTCCGCGGGCTCTCAAGAGTATATATATATATATATATATATATATATATATATATATATATATATAAATCGTGCGTATCACTCGGACAGCTCGAGGACAACCCGACAACTGGTACCGACAAGCGATCGTGAGAGAAAAGAGTCATTTCTTCCCTTTTCTCGAGCGAATCTCTACCCACTCGCGTCTTCGCTTCGCGATGAGACAACTTCGTCGAAGCGAAGAAGCGATTCGACGTAGAGAAAGAAAGAGAAAGACAGAAAATAAAGAAAAAAAATTAGAGAGAAATCGCATGCTTAGTATTGAAAGAAGAGAAAATCCCGAAAATTAAGCGAAAAAAAGGAGAGGAAGAAAAAGAAAGAACAGAAAGAAGAGAGAGAGAAGAATAAACTCAAGGCGAAAGTGATCGCCCAAACGGGCGTACTAAGCGGACCCTAGCCATGACCTCGGCGTTATCGTCGCGGGATAACATCGAGCACGGCGGATCGTCTAGATTTTCTTTTTTTTTCATTTTTTTTTACCTTTCGATCTCCTCGTGCTGGGGTCTTTCCGAAGTCCGAAGGATCGCAGGCATAAGAGGATTCACGGGGGATATGGGAAGGAAGAGAACGGATGGAGAACTCCCTTACAGACAGTAGGGATGGCAGAACTGGTACACCAGTCTCTGGCTGCGCTCCGTCTTCTTCATGATGCCCTTCTTATAGTACTGTCGGATGCTGCGGCTGAGCTTGTCGTAGTTCATGGCCGGCCGATTCTTCCGCTTGCCCCACAGCCGCGCCACTCGCACCGAGTCCTCGATCTTGAAGACCCCTTTGCCGCGGTCCAGCCAACGTATGCAGGAACCGTGGACGCCCGGGCTCTGCAGCAGCTCCTTCAGGAACTGCCAGAGGTGGATGTGGCTGCCGCCGTTGCGGATCTTGCCGCCACCCGACCCGCTGCTGCTGCCGCTCGCACCCTGACCGGAAGCGCAATCCTCGTCCTCGTCTGCGAAAAATAATACGAACGCACGAGGGATGAAAGACGAGAAGTGAGATAAACGCGATGTTTTTTATATCATAATTAATTCTCTTTTATGTCATAGTTAGCCACAATAGTATATTGTGTATCAAGTGCGGAAAGTTGACAATTGGTCACGAATGCGGGGGATGGACGACCACCCCACACGAGTGAACAATTGTCAATCCGCACGTGATACACATACTATTTTGTATTACAAGTGCAGGCAAAGTGGCTTTGTGCGCGTTTTCTGTGCGCGAGGTGGCCGATTGCACGCCGCCATCTTGCGACGTGGGAAATCGGCCGCTTTCCGCACAAAAAACACGCACACAAAGTGCCACTTTGCCTGCACGTGTAATACAAAAGTATTTCGTCAAGACACGTTGGAAAAAGTACCCAGACAGCACAAGACATCCTCAGGATTATCCTGAAAATGTCCAAGATGGTCCAGGACATTTATAGAATGTTTTAAGATATTATTATCAATATATTTTATGAAAATTTAATATCCATATATGATTACTTCTGTTATGCGGGCTATTTAATACAATTTGAATATTATAATAAATATTAATGTCTCATAAATGTCCACTAGATAACCATTAGATGTATATAGGATTTTATTTATTGAATATCCAGAGAATATTCATAGGATATTCATAGGACATCCAGAGGATATCCAAAGAATTTCTATATAGGCGTCCCTAACAGCGCACATATCCCGAAAACGTTCAGAGAACATCCTAAGAGAATATCCTTTTTTTAAACTACAAGAATACAAAAAACTACTGGTATAATAATAGTTCTCCAATAATACATTATTGAAGAATTATTGTTATTAGTAATTTTTTATATTCTTATACTTTTTGCACGAGTAAACTTTTTTCCGATATAAAAATCAGTATAAATAGGCACCCTTTTCATATCCTATAAAAGTCCTTGAAATATCCCACACAATATCCTAAGGATGATTCAGAGATAAAAAATGAGGGATCATTTGTTCTTCCTTAGGATATCCGTAGAAAGTCTTAGGATTAAAATACGATATCCTAAAGATATCTGTTATATCCCTCCTATTGGATGTCCTCTGGAAATCCAAAGGACATCCAATAGAACAGATATCCTCAGGATATTCTATTTTAATCCTAAGACCTCCTTCGGATGTCCTAAGAAAGAGAAAATGATCTTTGGAAATCCAAAGGACATCCATGTGCTGTCTGGGATAATTAATTTCTTTTATATCATAGTTAGCTACAAAAACGTATTTCGAGATGATATAAGAGAATCGAAGTTAAGAAGAAAGAAAAAGGAACGTACCATCGGAGAAGTCCACGGCGCAAGGGGACTCCTTGAGGCTGCCCGTTGTCGTTGTCGTTGTATTTCCGATAGCAGGTGTCACGGCGCTGCTCGGAGACTGGACCACCCCTGCGGGACTCCAAGAAGCGGCCAGGGTGTTCCGCGGTGACTCCTCGACAGCGGCCTTCCAAATCTCTAATTGCGCGTGCAACATGCTCCCGCACTTCAACATAAACGACATTGTTGCCGCGTTATAATTTGCCTAATTAGCCGTGACTTTGGTGCTTCGTGCACCTTAAATAGCATCGCCGATGCTCTACTTGGATAGATCAAAGCGCAGTCTATATTTATAAATATATATTTTATATTCGTATATTTATATTTAAATATTTTTTATATTTAATTTTTTTATATTTGTTATATACATTTTTTATAGTTTGTAATTTATTTTAATTTTGTATTAAAATTTTTTATTCTGTAAAAAAAAATATAAGAAGAAATGTTAATTTAATTTCCTTTTATACTTGTGTTTTACATTTTACATTTTTTAAGTTTGTATTTTACTCTTATATTAACATATTTTTCTATAAAAAATATATATTTATACATTTTAAATATTATTAAAAATTATTCAAAAATATATATTTATATATTTTAATCGAGTGCGTGATCCCGATGACAATTGACCAAGTTTTGATCTCCGATACGCTTTGGACATGAAAAAGACACACACGGAGAAGCTTGGTCATTAGCATCAGAATCACGCGGTCGATTAAAAATGAAAAGCAGATGCGAGAAGAGCATGGAGGGGAAAAAGAGAGAGAAAGAAAGAAAAGAGAGGCGCGGAACGCTAGAATTCCAACGGAAGAGTCGTAGTGCGCGAGAGAAGAGAAAGCGGCTCTCCGTTGAGACGCAACATGCGGCGGACAACAAGACATTCGAGCGGTTGACCCACTTCTCGATCGTTTCTGCCATGTCGAGCCGATGGTGTGCGCATCGGCAGGTATAGCAAAGCGATCTGATCGCGCAGAAGAACGCACACCCAAGTGGTATACGCGCTTCAGATTGACAGTTCGGCATCCTCGTCGTCGCTCGTAGCGCGGAAGCGACATTGACATCCAGAGCTGCGAGATGCAATCCTTCCGCATCTCTTGAAGCGATATATCATTTAGATATTACTTATAGATCTCACATTTAATTTATCTGATTATTCGTTTGCCCGTTTCCAGAATTTTTTCCAGAAAGGGGAATTATTAAACTTTTTATTTTTTGCTCTTTCTTAATTTTTTATTTTGTTATTTATTTTTTTTTATATTAAATGTGCAAGTATATTTTAGTGTTTATGAGAAAAAATTATAACAATATTAAATCCTCCATTCTCTAAATGCTCAATTTTAACTTGTTGAATTTTTTTCCAGGAAGGGGAAGCATGATCAAAATTTTTATGTTTTGCTCTTTCTTAATTTTTAAAATTATTTTGTTATTTTTATTTTCATTTTTTTAATTAAATGTGCAAGTATATTTTAATATTTATGAGAATAAAATTATATAACAATATTAAATCCTCCATTCTCTAAATGCTCGATTTGTTGCGAAATAATAATTATATAAATAAATATATTTTTTGCTATCATTTAGAATGAAGTATTTAGAGAATGGAGCGTTTAGTTGCTGAAAAATTAGATGTCTACGTAAATTTATAATAATTCGATCCGACAGCCTAACTGCGCGCAGCATTCTATCCAAGAGATTCATCCAGCGATATACAATTATACACTCGCGACTCGTTCTGAGAAACAAATTCTCAGCATATCGATATAATCGCCGTTATTAAAATGCGACGCCAAAGAATAACGCGAAGAATGCTGTTAATTATTTCCTCGAGAAGCGAGTGCGCCAAGACTCGTCAGTTTTATTATGGCAACTTTGAACAATCTAAATGCAATCTGATTTTTTGTCGCTTTCGCTTTTTCAATATTTTACTTTTTTCCATTCGCAACAGATTTATAATTAATCATTCAAAAATTTATATACACGTGTATAATCGTGAATTCTCATTTCGTACATTCAAGGTGATCTTTGTGCGACCTTGACAACTCTAGCGAAGGTCAGCTATCGATACGTCTAACTCTTAAAATACATCATTTAATAATTTACAACCTTGATATAAAATTTTTTGTAATTTTCCAAGTAATACATTTCATCACAATATATAATTTTATTTTCAAAGTAAAAATTATATTTAAGAAAATTGGAATACAGAGTGAAACGAATAATCAGATAAACTAAAGGTAAGACTCTATTTAATTCGCAATATCGAGAGCGAATTTTTTTCTTTATACATATTTATGAATCGCGCTCGATGAAAAAAAGTCGACGAAGAAAATTTGATCGCATCGACGAGAGAAGCCGAAGAGAGGAAACGAGGAAAGGAGTCGCGCGAGAGATCGTAGATAGAACGTGACCATGATTCCACGCTATACGCCATAGAATTACCGCGATACTTCGTGGCACGATTATCCAATTACTAGACGCAAAGCGGAATCCATTATGCACGGCTACTTTTCCGTCGTTCGCCATATACGCGGCTACTCTACTCGCTATTAATTTCCGTTACGGACTCACGTCCGCCAGCTCTTCGAACAACGAGACGCGCGTCGTGAGACTCTTCAAGATTCTCACACCTCTGTCTTGCGACTTTGATTGAAAATGTAACGCGATAATCGAGAGTTTACCGCATCGAAAGTGTGTTACCGGCAATGTACTTGGATGATTTTTAAATTAGCTAGATGAAAATATATATAAATTCATCTTAGACAAGATGAGGATGATTTTGTTTTAAATATATCTAGATAAGGGATAAAATATGGCGATTCATCTAGATGACTTCCAGATAATATTAATTTTAAAACCGTTTATCTAAACATAATTATAAAAAATATATAAATATATTCATATTTACATATATAAAAATATATTTATATAAGTTCTCTTAGTTATTATATATTCATATAAATATATTTTATATTAGCGCCAAAACTTCATCTAAATGAGCATCTTACGGGGTTCTAGTTTTGATTCGAATTTTTCGTTTTTTCTTCGACAAACTTAGACCGAGAAGGTACAGAAAACGTGGGAAAAAATATTTAATTAACAAAAATATACATTTCTCAATCGCACAAAATAATAAATATATTATTTAAAATTATAAATTAAAAGATTAATATTATTTAAAATTATAAATTAGCATGAAAGAGAAAAATATTGCACTTGCAGAAACCTAGTATAACTATTTTGTTCAGGGAAAGTTAACTTATTGAAATAATAATTTTTTTATTACAATACAATGTCAAGTTCGCACACTTCTTTCTTCAACTTTATCGTGGCTTTGTCAAGTTTAGGGTTATAATTAGCAATGGGTATAATCAACATTGACAGAGCAACCGGTTTTTAGCACGCTCGATGCCGATGGAAAACTCGTTACTTAATAAGCGACAATGTATAATAGCTGTATATATACGCAAGTATATATATCGAGAGAGGCAGCGCAAAAGTAAGTCGTCGAATTCTTTTTTGTTTTCTTAAGTTCTCTCACGAATAACGATATAAGTATTCACGAGGCAATTTCACGCTTTTGTTCGCCAAATAATCACGTCGTTAAAACGTGTCTTGTAAAAGTAACTATTATACGTTATTTTATACATTGCAATCGAGTTGCATTAAATTTTTAAATTGGATATAATTTGCAAGGATATATGTAATGGACAAATTCTTAACAAATTAGCGGCAATTACTTTGGTAACACAAAATTCGCACGATCATGGAACGAGTGTTTATGTCTATTACATTTATTTAATATAACGTAAAGTAGAAAAGCTGCAATAAATATTATCTTCTTATTAAACAATTCTATTTATTTTATTAATATATTCATTTTTCATTATATTATTTATTATTATTTAATAATAAATATTTTTAGGTAATTTCTCAATATAAATTTGAAAAATTTTTTTAATATGAAAATTAATATTTTATATAAACACAATTAAAGTAATTTTTTTTTTTCTTCAATTTTACAAATTATTTTTGTTAATCCTACCTCTTTTAATTTTATTTAACATATAATAATGTATAAGAGCACATCTTGTTTAACGCGCAAGATAAGCTGATATTTGTGTATATGGTATAATGATATGAATTAGTCTACACATCAGTCTCAGTATCCCTTATCGGCGATCTGGTTAAGATTTATTACCGATGAGCGAGTGCCAGCCTCGTAATAGAATCCGTTAATAAAGAGAAAGACGCCTCGCAAAGCCTTGAGCAAAATTTCTTTAAGGGCCTCTCTCTTTCTCTCCCTGAAATTGTATCCCTGACGCAAACTGACGCAACTCTCACACGCGTCGGATGATTCGCGCGGGAATTCCGATCCCGTTACACATGTCGAAATCTTGCGCAGCATATGTACACATAGGTAGAGGTACCTTCTTTCCATTTATGCCTCGGGTATGGATTACGCGGAAGGAGCGCGTAAACGCACATCGATTACCAGGAAACTCACTTTCACCGGACCTCGGCGGCGCGCGTTTCTCAAGTCTGGCTCTCCTCGTCGTTTTATTTTCTTTGCCGAACGCGATTCGATTGCACGTTGCAGTAATAAAGGATGAAATTATTAATTTATCGACTCGCGCCGAATCCAGTTCAATCTTCATGGCTGCCAAAAATCGCAGACTTAATCACTTTAATGGGACGAGATCTTTAACTTTCGTTATTGCATCATGCTCCATTGATATACTTATTTTCAGAGATTAATTAGTCCAATAATATAGATATTGATTCAATACATTTTTAATTTTTTTTAAATTTATTATTTTAAATATTTAAAAAAATTATTTAAGAGAATATAACGACAATTTAATCGCTCTAATTTAAGAGATTAATTAGGCCAATAATATAGATATTGATTCAATACATTTTTAATTTTTTTATTTATTATTTTAAATATTTAAAAAATTATTTAAGAGAATATAACGACAATTTAATCGCTCTAATTTGGATACGAATTTATAAATTGCAGCCATCGTTATTATATCGTGCTTTCTATTGGTTCTATTTTTTCTATTAATAAGCACTGATGCTTATTCGAGATCAACTAGTCAAGAAAATATATACATATATCTTTTTAAAGCTTCCTTGTTGTTTTAGATATTTATATAATTATTTATGAGAATACTGAGAGACAGCAAACTTGTTATCTAAAATAGACACTATAAACAAAATGGATTAAAGCGATAAATGGAAAATCTACTATAAATTCTCACTACGACGACGGGAGATAAATTTCATGAAAAATGTAACCAGGGCGACGCGAGGCAGATAAGGAATGACGTATATATTTTCGCTATCATTTTGCCATTGATTCCAACATTGTCGAATATATATTTTATAATATTGACAATAAAACAAAATTTTACGGAAATGCTGCGTAATTTTAACACTCTTTTTTTTTTTTTTGCGATTGTCTGAGCACTTCTCGTACATAATAAGAGAGATTTCGAAAATCGTTGCGGTTAATTGATTCGTTAAAAGCGCATACGATCCCGCCGAGGTCGATCATCACGAACACAAACGCAAGAGTTGCGTAACGATACCGCGTCAAAATTGCAAGGCGCACATGCAATTATCGTGAAGCATGCGAGAAAATAAAAGCCGAGTAAACACAATGAAATATAAGATTATAAGAGAACAAAATTTATAAGATATTAATATATGCAATATTTATAGGGTACTTTTCGTCCGAAATTTAAAATTCGATATCTCCGTAATATTAATAATTGAAGTGTTTTAGAAAGAAGCTTCAAGAAGACAAGTAACAAAAATCTCTTATTTCATTCTTAATTAAATTTTATATTAATCGACTTTATATTATATATTATATATATATATATATTATATAATTATGTATATTATATATATAATACATATTATATATATACATATGTTATATAATTATGTATATTATATATATATATATATATATATATATATATATATATATAAATTTTATATTACTCGAATTTTATATTATTCGAATTTTATATTAATTTTAAATGAAAGCATGGATGATCACATAAAGATACATAACATCAAAGATGGAAAGATTTTATAAAAAAATGGACTGTGCTATAAATCTTTCGGGAAGATCGTAAAATGTTACGAAGAGCAAAATATGTTTTTCGAGACACCATATCTGTATTCTAAGAAAGAATGTAATAAATATATTCTCACCTGGGGAGCTCTCTGGCAGAATTCCTCCTCGGTGAGGGTGGCCAGGGTCGCGCCATCCACGTTGAAGCTCTCCAGCGGCACCAAAGGCAATTGCAATTGCCGTCTGGCCCACTGCACCCAGGCCGCCACGTCCGCTGCACTCCAGCGTCTCGGTTCTGCAATTAAAAATTTTACATTATTTTATTAATCGAAAAAATTCCCCGAAAAATTTAGACTCGGAGAACCGATGATTGAATCAGCTTCAAGCGAATTTTTATAGTCCAGTAAAATTAGACTTTGACTTCATAAAAATTAGGAGCACGCTGAATTTTTGTGGAGACCTTTATTTCGATGTTCTAATGAAATCCTGGAAAGGACTCTTAATTTCATTCAGAACGTTTTTATGGGAGATAAGTTTTAGTTTTTTGCCATTATCTCGAAAACTATCAATTTTTTGAAAGTATAATGACCTTTTTTGTAGAGAATTTTATGAACTACAACTTTGATAATAATTATTTTTCTCGAAAAATTGATAGTTTTCGAGATAATGGCAAAAAAACTAAAATTTATGCCCCACAAAGAAACGTCCTGAATGAAATTAAGAATACTTTTCAGGATTTTATTAGAACATCGAAATAAAAGTCTCCACAAAAATTCAGCTCGTTCCTAATTTTTATAAAGTTTTGCCTTTTTCAAGTCTAATTCTACTAGACTATTATATGTCTCTCGGAGTAAATTCTTTTTTTCTTTATTATTTTCTGAATTAATTGGATGTAGCGTGAAAAGAAAATAGAGTCTTTTTGCGAAGCATAATAAATGTGTGGATGATGTGGATTGATTTCGTAACTCGACGCGCTTTCACGACTTACTTCGTGACTTATTTCAAGCGTGACATCACAGTTCGAACTAATAGACGAATCAATCGCGTATGTACTAGAATACCGATATGATGAAGACGGTGAAGACGACAACTTAAAAATTGTGCTCGCGGCAAGGTAACGAGAAGGTCTAACGGAGCGAGGTTAATCGAGAAAATCGAGAAATACGCGTCGGAATTTCTGATGACTCGACCCCTCACAGTCGTGTCATCCATACATCATCGAATTGCACGAAGTCAATTTCTACGGTATCCGATTACGAAGAGAGAGTTTGTATAAACGAATAAAAATATGGGAACTTAATGAAACTTAGCTCGATAGTGGAACTGAGAAATTTTCGACCAAAAACAGTGTTTCACTTGATTTTTTTTAAGCAATGGAAAGTTTCTTTCATGTGTCATACGTTGTGAAATAATATAATAAGTATTACAATTTCCTCCTTTCCACTCGAGAATTATCGATATATAAATTCTTGCACGGTGAGTCACACGAGGCGATTTTAGTGAAAAAAAATCGAATAAGAGAGAAAATAAAATCTTGAAGAAGAGGGATAGAGAGAGAGAAATTCAGGAAGAAATCTTATTCAGCAATTACTGCAAACTTGATAATAATTAATGCGTACGTGATTGCATCCGTCTATGGCAGCTATCGAAGAAATAGCGTGTTTACAAAGATGTACGCACAAGGTTACGCATTTTACTTTCCAACGAGACAGTATCAATAATCATGAAATACATCATTATTCTCTCTCTTCTCTCTTTTTAGATTATAAATTTAATTCTTCATTCCATTATTCATTTTTAATTAACCTTTGATTATATAAAACAATTATAGAATTATTTTCTTAAAACCTCCCTTCATGTTTTCTAGTAGAAAAAATCTAGTAAAAAAAATAGAACGAGATAAAATATAAAAATACATCATTATCATTTCTCTTTTTAGATTATAAATTTAATTCTTCATTTCATTATTCACCATTTTTTAATTAAGCTTTGTTTCTATGAAATAATTATAGAATTATTTTTTAAAACCTCCCTTCATGTTTTCTAATAGAAAAAATCTAGTAAAAAAAATAGAACGAGATAAAATATAAAAATACATCATTATTCTCTTCTTTTTAGATTATAAATTTAATTCTTCATTCCATTATTCATCATTTTTTAATTAACTTTTGATTCTATGAAACAATTATAGAATTATTTTCTCAAAACCTCCCTTCATGTTTTCTAGTAAAAAAAAAATCAGAACAAGATGATAAAAATACATCATTATTTTCTCTCTTAGATTATAAATTTAATTTTTCATTTCATTATTCATCATTTTTAACCAACCCTGATTCTATAAAACAGGTATAGAATTATTTTCTCAAAACTCCCTTCATGTTTTCTAGTAAAAAAAAAAATCAGAACAAGATGATAAAAATACATCATTATTTTCTCTCTTAGATTATAAATTTAATTCTTCATTCCATTATTCATGATTTTTCAACCAACCCTTGATTCTATAAAACAGGTATAGAATTATTTTCTCAAAACCTCTCTTCACCGTCTTCTAGTAAAAAAAAAATAGAACGAGATCAAATATAAAAATATAAAAATACAAAATATAAAAATATAAATATAAATATAAAAAAAATAAATACAAGCAAAAAGAGAGGCTGAAGATCCGTTCCGCGTAAATAAAAGTTGGAAGAGCCGACTCACCTGGATGAATGCCGAGGGCCACGCAGGTGTTGTCGAAGTCCTTCTGCAACTGCTGGATGGCCAAACTGAGGACCGGCTCGAGCTGCTCGCGGGCGAGGTCGCCCACGCATTCGCCGGCCTCCATATCCTCGACGTAGCCGGTGCCGACGCCGCCGAGATCAACGGGTCGCAGATTGTACTTCCTCTGGAAGCTGGTATCCCGCAGCACCTCTCGCAGCAGCTGGTGATCGCTCTTCTGGCCGTCCTTGAAGAGCTCCTCGTCCTTGCGCAGCGGATTATTCGCGGCGAGCTCCTGCCGCGATCCGCGTTCCACCTTGAGCTGGCTCAGCTTGTCCGGCATCTCCAGCGGGTTCTCTTTGCGCGCGGCGCCCTTGAAGAGGAGCTCGCGCAACGCCGAGCCGCCGCCCTCGAACTCGCACGAAGGGCTGGGCGAGGACGAAGCGGAAGAGGACGCGGAAGGGGACAAGGACGAGCCGTTGCTGCTGGAAACCGAGCGCGGTTCCTCCTTGAAGAGAATCTCCTTGAGCAAAGGGTGCCCTTGCACGCCGGCGTCCTCCTTCTTCGCCAGAAAATCCGCGTCCAGACTGTTGTAGATGTCCTCCTCGCTACGAGGTGGTGTACAGGGCACCGTGCAATCGGTCGAGTCCTCTCGGTAGCCCAGACTCTCGGCCAAGAGTCTGTAATCATGCGAAAATTCCGTATTTTTTTAAATTATTAATAATTAAAGGAAAAATTAATATTAAAGAAATCCAAACTTGAATAATGTGAAATATTTTTTAATTTTATATCTATACACATGTTGTAACAAATAAATAGAAAATGATTAAGTTCTATAAAAGATCAAATGATAATTAAGTCATGAGTAAATAGAGAAATAATAGGTAATGTAATTAAATTAAAAATAATAAAATATTTAACAAATAAATTATGTTATAATTAAATTAATATTTAAAAATTATTTAAATTTTGCGCGCTCTTTTCTTTTTATTGCTTGAATGGAATAATAAAGTACACGTAGAAAAAAAGCGCGGACCGATCGATTTTATGTTAAAAACAAAAATTCTTTTTCGTTCCCAAACGCAAGAAAATTATGATTATATGGATCACAAAGACAAATGGAAAAAATGGAAAATTCTTGTATTATAATAGAGTGATTTACCTAGACTCCTGGAGGATGGCCAAAAGATCGAGGCTCTTCTCCCTCTTAACGGGCTGCTTGGCCGAGGGTTCCGGGCTGGTGGGGTAAAACTGGGCGCTCTGGGGGCTCCTGGGTACGTAATACGGGCTGGTCGGGTATCCCGGCGAGGATCCCTCGTGCGAGTAGTTGGGCGACAAGGGCAGCTCGCCGTTCTGATACGGCGGGCTCTGGTAGATCGTGGGCGATCCCGGACGCGGCGATCGCGCCTCCTGCTTGATCTGCGAGCTCTTCAGACAGGCGAGCTGGTCGCCGGCCGGACTGTAATCCTCCGGCAAGAGGGACAGATCGAACTGAAAAGTGCTGTAGTCGAACGACGGCGAGTAGCCGGCCGCGGTGGGCACCGTTTGCGGCATCTGGGAACAGGCGGAGAAAAAAAGAACAAATTCAAGATCAATCGTATCGAATCACATATTTCGTCGGCGAGATAGATTTTTAGATTGATGGAAAAAATGTCGCGGCCAAGGCTGATCGATCCGCGAGCGACTTCCACTATTCGGGGCTTAAAAAATCAATGCGACACTAGTGGTGGTTGCGTGAACTATCATAAATGATCATCCATCTAACATTATCGTACTATTATTTGAAAAATCAATTAATAATGTTCCAGTGATCACATGAGATTCTGATGTCAAGGCACTTATTTGTATAGACGTAAGGAATATACATTTATTCTTTCTTGACTTTTCATAGTTACACCACACATAATAATTATGCCGGAATTTATAACATCCTTCGATCAAATTCCTTGATGAAGGCGTAGCTTTTGTATAATCACAGAGTGTGTGTCTAGCCGCAATGACAACATCTTTTTCATTCGAAAAATTTATTTTTACACTTAAAACTGTTGTTGTACCATATATTCGCGGCGGCCATATTTGTTTTGCTTCAGTAGCGCCTCTCTTACGGCGGTGAACATTTTTTTCATCAATAAGCGGTCTAATGCCGGCAATTAGAGCGCGATTGTGGTTTTGTGGTGGTGGGCCGGTGATTACGAACGTGTATACATATAATGGACGAAACGACCCGCGATAACGTTGTAACGAGCGGGAAAAGGAAACCGTCGGAGATCTGTATTCCATGAAATCTTATTCAATCATATTATATTACAACTATCTCGCGGAACACATATTAATCATGAATGTACATCAATTAAGAAGCTATATGTATAATATCCCTAACAGCACACATATCCCGAAGATGTTCAGAGAACATCCTCAGGATGTTCCTCTAGATATCCTATGAATATCTTTCGAATTGTGCTATTCGAAATATATTATGTATAATAAAATAAATATTATACATATTATATAAGTATTTTATATTAATATTAATAATTAAATTAATAATAAAATTAATATAATTATATAATATATTAATATAAAATTATACTAATAATTATATATTAATAAAATTTCATATACGATTATATTATCGTAAAATCCGAATCTATATATAGAAATGAGATAGTGACAAATAACGCAAGATTTTTCTCACTGACGATGAGTATATCATTTATAACACGGATATAATACGCAGAGGATAACAGAGAGCAATAACGAGCGTAGGACGAATCCGAGCTGTTCTGGATCCTAAGAGGTATAAAACACACAGCCGCGTGTTATAAAACAACACATGTGTACATATACAAGAGAGGCAATAAAAACTGGACCGCGCCTTTTGTGCGGTCCGGACGATACAAGAGATGCTTCATATCGATTCGCGCGCGAAAGCGAAAATCGCCGCGGACGAAACACTTTCTCCGAGAGCCCCGAATGGACCCGCGGATCGTCCGTTTATCTTTCAGCGTGTTTATTGCCCGTCTTGCGTTTGACCCCACGTCAGTTTGTTACGCCCCGCGAGTCGCTTAAGGCGATCCTCCTTCTGCCGCTCGGGATGAGCGACTGTCCCGAAACCAAGGAGATTGAGCAGAAAGAGGATGAAATTAAAATTATATTTTTGTTGCAAATTTCACGAAAATTTTATTAATAATTTCGATATAAATTCTAGAAAAATTAATTGAAGATAAAAAATAGCATTAGAAAAATGAAAGATATATCCTCGGGATGTGACAAAATATACTTAAATATGTTTCAAAAACACGACACAAATGGGAAATTAATTCGATATTGGTTTTAAAAATTTATATAAATTATATTTACTTTGTTTTTCCTTCTTAAAATGTGCAATTCTTCGCTCGCTTTAAAACAAGAACTGAGGATTCACCAAGTACTCTGTCATATGATAAAAATAATTATTCAAAATTGATAAATAATTGCAACCTCAAATACAATAATTATGCGTAATTTGCACAGTTTAAAATCACCCTTCGTTTCAGACATTCAACATAATTATAACATTCAATCTACTTTAAAATTGCAAACATGCCCAATCACATATATGAATAAATATTTGAAACAAACTGATTTCATGTCATCAATCATCAGTTAATTTATGTATGACAGCTACAAGTATTTATAAGCTTTCGGATTATTTTTACGAAAACTTCTCATTCTGTTAATTACATGCAATCAGCTTAACGAGTTCCAAATTACTTTAAAGCAGACGAAGAGTTGGAATTTCAACATTTTCAAAAGCAAACAACGTGAAATATAATTTATGACTCTTATGATCTTCCGACATTAAAATCGAACACAATTTTTATTCCCGTCCTATTTTTCTCTAAAAAAAAAATAGTTATTTGCTCGTCGAAAAACGGGCTTTCTGGTATCGTGCTCTCGGATCGTCTCGACGCTCATCTCGCGAGCGGCCAAGAAAACGCTCGAGATACGCTGCGCGAGTCGAGAGAAAGACGAAATGACGCTTCCCGTCTCTCTCCCGCCGGCGGGCCCCGGTGTGGTGCACCTTAAGGGCCCATTTATCTCTACGTGTGTTATTGCCCGTCGTGTGTTTGACCTCGCATCAGTTTGTTACGCTTTGTAAGCCCATTACAACGTTCCCAGTGCATCTCCCTGCGCTCAGGCGGGGTCGCATCTGACATTTTGACGTAGTGCCCCGCAAAGGTCGACGCGAAATAAACGATTATGCCCAACGGACACAGGGTAGGGTATACGAGGGGATGAGAGGGGGGCCTCTCTCTCTCAGACAACGTAGAGACACAATACCTCTGCCACTTTGATCGCACACGTTCCGTATATATATATATATATATATATACGTGCACACGAACATCTCACATTATAGGGATAGCAAAGAGATACAGCAAGAGCGCACTCGCTGCTTATTCTCTCTCTATCTCTGCCGAGCCTCTCGAAAGGTTCCAAGGAGAAAGAGAATGTTTATCTATACACTGATGGAATCTAAGAACGCCTCTCTCGAGAGAGAACCTTCCTCTTGGGTTCACCTCGCGCGGAATCACGAGGCTCGCGAGCGACACCAAGCGGAGAAAAAGGAAAAATAAAAGAATCGGCGTCCAAACGCGATACAGCATTCACATTGAGACATTACTTTAATTTGTACAGGAAAAAGATTTATCAATCCGAATAGTCTCATATTATCTAGGTGTAGAATTATGAATTCTTCATCAATTTATAATTCTACACCTAGATATATGAGACTGTGCAGATTGATCAATCCTTTTCCTGTACAAATTAAAGTATTAGTATTAACAAATTGCGAAGTGTTCTAATTTCAGGTAAAAAACAATCCGTATAGCCAACAAATAGATTTATAGTTGAATCTTATCTCATATTTTGTCAATAAACTCAAGGCCGTTTAGGATCCCCTTAAACCTGAAATTTGTGGAAACCCTTATCGCGCGATAAGCAAACTAAACAGACACAATATTCGATGTCTCACTTTCACGTCTATCTTTTATTTCGTATTACGAAATGAGACGAATCTCGTTATCGCGGAGACTGAAATTTCGTCGACCTTTTAATCGGTCTTCGTGAACGAGAATATATGGTGCCCCGGATGGGAGAACCTTCCATGATTCTCCTTGGATTTCGCTCTGCCTCCTTGCTCTCGAGCAAGTTTCGCAAAGACAAGCGCCATTGACGTCACATTCGACTAATCGCCGGTGCAGCTGCAGTTGCATTCTCTCCTCCCTCCTTTCCGCGCGCGAAACGCGGGATTCCACCGGAGTCACGGACCGAGCGAGTCAACGGGACGACCTCGTAATTTTCGAGAGACCGTCTCGTCCCGTTCAAACACCGTAATCTGTTTGCGATTACACGGCGGCACCTGATTTTTTTTCTTTTTTTTTTTTTTTTAAAATAATCTGACAAAAAACGCGCCTTTCTTTAGTCTCTTTTTCTTTTTATTCTATACAAAATATGTATATATATATATATATATATATACATTAGCAGATCTTGATATTGATAACAAAAGGGGTTTTGGTAAAAATATTCGGTTTAATATTTGTCTTTTAGTGACGCTTAGCTTTTACTTTAGAATCAATTAAAAATTTTTTAAAATTTTTTACATACTTAAAAATTTTTCTTTATTATTTAAATGATTGTCTTTAAGTTTAACCATTTTATTTAAAATATCTTCTAGACAGCGTTAAATCTAAATTAGCACCACTGATTTTTTTAATTGGAGAGGAAAGGTTTTAACTCCAAAACTCCTTTCTAGGATCTGCTAATGTATATATCAATGGATAATGCAATCTGTCGCAATCCTGAAGAATCCAGCGCATTATTATAAATTCAACACGCTGATCCGTTCGCCGCGAAATTTCGAAAATGGCGTCTCTCGCCGAAGATCGATAAACGGAATATAATAAATCGTCGGATTGTCTCGATACCGCAGAATTGAGTTAATTAATTAATTACGAGAATCGGGACAGCGCAATCGACGAAAAGAGTTATCGAAATGTGTATGTGTACATACAATCGCGTTTGCGCGATAACGCGCGAGTTATCGGGTCCACGCGCGGTTTCGTAATAATCGAGATTTTTCACGATCCCGTCGGACTTTGAACGCGCACGGATGACATTTCGAGCGAGAAATCGCGACCTTCGATAACACCGTGACCACGAAATGGGAGAACGAGAAGAGGCTCATCTCTTCTTTCTTCTCTCCTCCCGAACTCTCGTTCGCGCAATCGTAAAGATCTTTCGGCGCGTCCGTCGCGAATTTGAATATGCATTCCGCGCCCGAGCAAAGGAAGGATGAAAAATTACGGGAGACGATTGTTAAAAAAAAAAAAAAAAAAAACCGGAATCTCTCCAAGACACGAAATAAGGTGCGCCGTCGTCTACATCGTCGTTTATTGCACGTTTATTCTCCGAATATATGTATAGCGCGCTATTAATTTTCGCGCAGCACAAATTACGCATTTCAGCCTTCGGTGAAATCGGAACAGACGAGCTCGGATGCAGCGGCG